CGCTGACAGCGGTTAAGCGTCACTTCCTGTTTTGGTAAGTCGTTCTACTTAACTCACGACTTCCGGAGGGCGTATGTAGCGCCCGGCGCTCGTTCGCTCTCGCTCCATCCCGCCGTACCTACTCCCATCATCTCCTCGCACCTCCTCCATCTGATCCCGTTCCTCTTGCTTACTTACTCCTACTCCTTGCTTGCTCATTCCCATCACCTGGACCATGCGTTCACCGACTGTCATTACTCATGGACTCAATTTCTCGGTAATCCCTGTTACTCGGGCGTCTCGTACGTATCGTATTTATACCCGACCTCGTACTCTCGTTACGGTAGCGTATTCTAGGCAGAATCTCAGTCTTTGAACCTGTCTAGGACCAGCGCTCTCGTGTCGCGTGTCCCCTTCCTAATCCGGATTCGCCCACGCGACACGTGGGTACGACAGAAATGCGGGCGCCCAAAAGTTCTGCACGCTTAACACCTGCGCTCGTCCCTCGTCTTCGCCGTTCCCACTATGCCAGACTCCTTCTTTGCCACCTCCAAGAACCGCAAACGCAAGCGGTCCGGCACAAAGGATGCCGGCCCATCGTCCTCGAAAAAGCCTGCACGAGGAGTGAAGGGAAAGGGCCGGAAACACGACATCAACGGAACCGCAAGCAAGAAGCGTGCAGCAGCAGACGAGGAGCTCTCAGATGAGACGCAGGACGATGGCGACCGAGAGGCCATTGATGACATGGATCTACGGGCTCCGGATGTGGACCCGAACGCGTACGAGAGCGGAGAGGAGGACGAGGACGAGACGCCTGCACAGAAGAGGCTAAGGCTCGCGAAACTTTACCTGGATAGCGTGAAGCAGGGCTTGTCATTAGGTGTGTACTTGCATGAAGCTCACCTAAGGGATGCTCGCTGACTTTCCTTTTAAGCTGATGGCGAGTTCGACGCGGCTGAGATCGACCGCGAGCTCATCTCTGCGCGACTCAAACAAGATGTGATGGAACACTCCGGGAAAGTGCATTTGTTCGTCGCAGATAGCGTGAGTCTGCCCTACATGAAACTTGAATAGACACTGAAGTCGCTCGCTAGTTTGACCTAACACACTCCCCATCCCTACGCACAAAACGTGCCCACCGCTTCTCCGTGACCGCCGCCGTTGCGTCGGAAGACGGCCGCTGGCTCTTCACCTCCGGCAAAGAGGGCGCCATCATAAAATGGGACCTCCACACCGGCAAGCAAGTGCATGCGTACCACAAAATCCGCGTCGAGAACAAGGGCAAAGGCAAAGGCAAGTCGCGCGCCCCGCCTGGAGAGATCGCGGGACACACGGACGAAGTATGGGCGCTCGCGGTGAGCCCGGACGGGAAGTACCTCGCAAGTGGCGGGAAGGACAGGCGCGTCGGCGTGTGGGACGTCGAAAAGGATGAGTGGGTGAAGGGCTTTGGCGGCCACCGGGATTGCATATCGGTGCGTTTCTGCCACTAGTCGACTGTCTACGTGCATGCACCGACTTGTTGGCGCACTTGTAGGCCCTCGCGTTTCGCAGAGCGCAGCCATCGTTACAGATCCCCACGCAGCTCTACTCAGGGTCGTACGACCGGACGCTCAAGCTGTTTGACCTGTCGACTATGGGCTACGTCGAAACGCTATTCGGCCACCAAGCTCCCATCCTCTCTATCGACGCGCTCCGGGGTGAGACGGCGGTGAGCTGTGGGGGACGGGACAAGACAGTGCGGTACTGGAAGGTCCCGGAGGAGACGCAGCTGGTGTTCCGAGGCGGGGGCGGGAGTACGTGGCATGATGACCTGGACGGGATGATGGATGAGGACGCAGAGGAAGATGGTGGCGCCGGGGTCAGGAAAAAGGCTGGGAAGGCCATCGACTCGACGATGGAGAAGTTTGTGGAGGGGAGCATGGAGTGCGTAGCCTTGATTGACGAGACGACTTTCGTCAGTGGCGGCGATAGCGGGTATGTTCACCTCGGCTGAAGCCTGAGACGACGAAGGCTTACATGTTGTATGGGATCCCAGGTCCATAAGCCTATGGTCGACTCAGCGGAAGAAGCCCGTTTTTACGCGGGCGCTCGCACACGGAATGGATCTGTCACAGGTCGAGGCAGAGGACATCAAGACGATCCGGAAACCTCGTTGGATCACTGCGCTCGGCAGTCTGCGCTACTCAGACCTGTTTGCATCAGGTCAGTCGTCTTCATTGCTGGGGTCATGTGCCTCGTCCCACGAATGTCGTTTTTAGGTTCATGGAATGGCGAGATCCGACTATGGAAGCTCGACGCGAAGCTGAAGTCGTTCTCGCTTGTCGGGTCGCTCCTCGCTCTCGGTGTGGTGAACTCGCTGCAGTTCATCTCGCCACCACAGGCCTTCTACACATCGGCGTTGTGGACGTCTCCTGAGGGGGACTCCGAGACGCTTGCTCAGATCCACGGGAAGCATGTGAAAGCGGGCACGTCTTCAGTGCTGCTCGTTGCCGGGGTGGGACAAGAGATGCGCGCGGGGCGGTGGATATGCAAGAAGGGCGAGGGTTATGTCAACGGGGCGCTTGTGTTCGCACTGCATCCTCGGACATGATGGTATTTACTGCTGTCTAACGTGACGTTTCATGTGCGAGCATCCATCTTTTCCACCCTGATGACTGCGCTGCGAACTACTGTAGAACGCGTGCGATGGCGACAACGTCTGTGCCGTCTGTGGCTGCAATGGAGCGGGAGATGCGCCTGATATAACAAAATGTGTATAGTCCAACGTTTTACATCTTAACGATCTGGACACCTGCATCCACCCGTTGGCCATCACAGGTAGAAAGACATCTCTCATCCCACGCGGGCTTGAATTTCGTAGACCGTCCAAATGATTGTGTTAAGTGGGCGACGGAGACGTATTCCGCTGCGTCACACAATTTGTTGAACAGCTTAGCATCTCGATGGTATTCCCCGTTGATGTCACCGAAGTTGTGGTGCAGCCTAGCCGCTCACGAGCTCCCTCCGTCACCGTCAGAGTTAGCGTATGCCTCTTGGCGTACTCGAGGAAGTAGTCGAGATAGAGCGTTCAGCCGTATAACAGTAACAAGTTGACTTCGACTTCCATTCCTCCCCTGCCCCTAGGTTGAGCTCGCAACCTTTACTCGAGCAGCGGCCCTCTTCACCAGCCATTAACATCGTGAGGCTGCATATATGCGTTAGAAGTGGTTGAGGCGACACGCATCTTGGTGGTTCCGTCAGTTTGTACCCTAGGCGCACATGACGAAAAGGTGATTTTGTGAACACTTCAACCCCTGGACAACTGCGTTGCGATCTGTGAGTGAACAGTCCCTTCAGCGTAACCCATAAACAACCTCGTGCTGTATGGTTACCGTCGTCTTGCGTCGGCCTTTTTGCCGTAGATACGCATTATCCCGTCATCTCCGTAGGAAGCAACAATAAATACCAGTGGGGACGAACCAGTGTCTGCCAACCGCCGTCCGGAAATCGAGGCGTGACTCAGTAATGTTCTCGCACGCGTAGTAGTAGAGGCCCGTAGCGACGATGTTCTCGTTCGCCATTCCCTCGACGTGCCACGAGCCGCCGGCGTACTTCGGATTATCTGGGGTGAGAACGATGTTCGCGAGCTTGACGATCACTTGGAGCGTACGCCCGTGGAGCGAGATCTTGATTTTGTTCTCCTCGTCCGCACTGGTAGTAGTGGGAGGGACGGAAAGTTCGGGTTCAGGAATGGAGGGCCATCGGTACTTCCACTCCCACTCAGCGTAGGCATTGTGGTAAGCATGTCGGTTAGCTGGGTAGTCGTCATAGTCTGGTTCGGGTACCGTGACGTGGTCGTACCAATCATGCGGGCTGGAACGTACGGCCAGGGATTGACCGCATCTGACAGCACCTTTTCGAATAGAGGCATGAAACGCGAGAGAACAGAGGATATGGTGCGGTACAAGGCGCGGTGGTCGATAGGATGGAGGTTGTTGATTTACGCGAGGGGCTCGACCTCACCCGATTCGGAGACTTCAAAATCCGTCGGGAGCCATTGGTAGTCATGCGAGATGCAGAACGGCTTCTTAGAGTTGTAAAAGAACCTCTGAAAATCTAGGCGGTGGCTGAGGTAGTCCTCTAACGCGAGCTGTACTGTGGGCGCGCCCTGGCCCCGGTCGCGACGGTAGACATGCGACCGACCGATACACAGGCAGTACATTGATGGATGGACGAGGTCCAGTACTTGCTTCTTTGACCCCGGATGCCAGTCCTTCTCCTCGTCTGGGATATCCTCGAGCACAGAGACGCCTTGCACGAGGGATGCCTTGACATCGGCGGGTATCAGACATCGCGACTCGTGCACCTTATGGATCGCCGTCGCCTGCATACAGCCAAACTCAGCTATAATCGAGTACCTGAATGGAATATATGCCCACAAGGATACCAGTTTGGTCGTCGTACTGGCTCGCGTCGTACCGCAGTTCGTCGAGGAGGTAGTTGAGCTGGACGTCGGTGATCTTGTCCCGCGGCCACTGTTTTTCACCACGGCCCGTCTTCCAATACTCGTCACCGCCCCAGAATCGTGCGACCATGACCGCGTCGTGCTCGATGATCTCCTTGCGCCACCTTGTTACGATCTCGTAGTCGTAGACTTTCTTCCACCAGTTGGGCTTGGCGCGTATCTTCCCTGAGAACCATCGCATGCGAAGCCCGATGAGCGTTAGAGGATTGCGGGTGACAGCCTCGAAAGGAGACGTAAACTCCAGCTCGGAATGGGACAGCTCGGATTGAGACATAATCGGAATGGTAGTGGGAATATCTGCATAAATGCGGATGTCGCATGAGCTTGCGATCGGGTAAGAGGTGGGAGCCAAGGCAATAATCACTGCTGTGTTTGAACGGTATGCTGAAGACAGCGGTTCGAGTTGACTTTGAGTGTTGGAAGAGGCCCAAGATGTCGGTTGTGTCGATTGATGTGGACAGAGCGCATTTTATGGACTAGAACGACTCACCTGTGCGGCGTCTGACGGCGAGACGGGGAAAGCATGGAACGCGACGATCAACTGTACGACATGACCGTTCCGGCAGGCGCTCACTTCAGGCACAGTTGTCGACCGATACTGTGACTACGTTGGGGTACATCATCAGCCGCGTTGACATCTTGAACCTTGAATGCAAACGAGAACAAATCGACGAGTCAACGTAAGGCGATGTATCCGTGCCGGGTCGGTAGCAGAGATCCGAGTGGGGGCGCTATGTGATTTGGACTCTCTGGATCAACGATATCACGCGGAACGTTTGCGTGTGGGTATGTACATACACTTGAGTTACATTGCTTCGTGTGGCGACGAAAGATGTCGCTAGAGACCAGCGCTTTGACCGCGTCTTTTTCTAGTCGGGTTCGGACCTTGACCTCAGATTCTCTGCTGACTACTTACAATTGATTTCACTCCCTTGCGCTCACCTTTGATCACAAGCCGCACATCCTTCTCCGCTCATCAAAGATCCCATATCACAGACTACTTCAACTGTACAGAAGGTGTTACACACATACACACATGGCAGCGACTCGAACCGCACGAATCCGAGACTGTCTACACGCAAATCACGAGCTCGGGGAAATAGTAGACCTTTCCGCTCGCCGGGTCCCGCTGCGTCCTGCGGATGCTCACAATGTAGAGCGCATTCAGGGTAGGGTTCTGGTACCAGTTTCTAAACCCTGCACATGTCGATTCTTCGAACGCCCTTCTCAGCTTCTCCGCCGCGTGTGGACCCTCCTGCCGAGATCACCGTCAATCAGTATAAGAGGCACTCTGATGGCATACGGCATTGACCACGTACGAAGAACGCCTTGTACCAGACGCACTGCGTGGCAATGATATCCGAAAGTAACCCATGCAGGGAATTATACATTGTCGGCTCCGTCCGAGGCCACGAGGTCACATCGCCAGTAGGGTCGGCCGCAATCTAGTCGTAGTAACGCATTTAGCATCTGTAACCCAACTGCTAACGGTATTTGACCACAACAGGTTACTCACAGGCGCTCTGATGGCTTCGGCTCTATGACCGCCGTAGTAGGCAACGTCCTCGCTGATAGCGTCAAGACCAACCACATGATCCTCAGCCGTCAGTGTATGATGCACAAACTGTGCCCAACTCCGGACATTCTTGAGGTTGCCTTGTTCACTTTCACGCCGGAACATAGCATGGAACGCGGCATCGTCAATAATCTTCCCAATCCGGAGACCCGCCATGTTCGTCCGGGGATCTATGACATCCCACTTGAAGGAGCCGTCAACGGCGAGGCCGCCAATAGCGTCAGGGATCTCGGCGCCTGTAACGAAAGCATGTTGAGACAGCACGATCGGAGTACGTTAGAGATGTCAAAGACTTACGCAGAATAGTCATCGGTGCAGAAGAGAGATTGGCAAGAGGGATGTGGTGCTCGGAAGACTGCAGAATCGCCTCTCACCTCGCTCACGATTTTATACCGAGGGGGAGGGGGGACGCATTGTCCTCGCTTGTCTACCACAGACCCATGCGAAAGTTTTCTCCAATGCGCGAGTCGCATTATACGCGACGATGTTGCCCTCGGAGCGATACCCACAATAGGGCCGAGCCTCAGAGCGTCTGCAACATCATGTCCAGGTTAGCTTGACGTCTAAAAGAGAAGGCCAAAGAGAAATGACCGGGACTTGACGTGAGTGGAGCTGTTTCGCCTACTGGTCACTAAAGCAACGAGGCTTGCTCTGTCCTTTCTGGCGCACCAGCGTTCCCGGACCTCGCCGCTCCCCGGTCTTTCGCTGAGGGATAGGCTGGACGTGTTGTGGCATGTGACAATGCTAAAGCCGTACCCAGTGCTTTGCAGTCTGAGACAAGATGACACCTCTTGGTCAGTGCCAAGGAAAACATAAGGACAATGCACATACCGACGAGTTCGGAGCAAGAATCTCCAAGGTCTCCCGAGAGCATCGGCCTTCCAAGCGTGCGCTACCGAGAGCGATCTACAGCTTTAGTGCGACAGACTGTCACAGCTTTCCCTGCCACGTTATGTCGGCGGTACTTTTAGCGGTATAAAAGCGAGCCTGGTGATGATTCACTCCTTATATTCAGCTAGTGCCGCGGACGAGAGCGAGCAAGTAGAGAGCGGCATTTCGTATCATCCAGACTAAGCGGCGCAAACTTGCACCCATACCTGGTTCGTCGAGATCCAAAGCCAGTCACACAGTGGGGGAACACGAGGGCAACCTGAGGAGACATGCATCCCTGACAGACGTCGTCCGTAGCGAAGGGCCCCTGACTCGGCCAGTACTTAGGCACAAGTCTCATTGACCAAATGATCTGGAAAGGAGAATTAGCTCGACACGGTGAGCACGTACTATAGTCGGAGCTTACAGCACGAACATCACGGCCCCGGATTGTCCGGATGACACGGCCGTATCGCTATCGCAATGACGACAGCGGACGAGACAAGACCGCCAGGCACTGGGTTGAAACCCCGATGGAATCTGTGGTCAAGGCCATTGAATCGGCGTTCCATTGGAGTTGTCGCCTCCTTAGGTCGAGGACTAAAGCAAGGCACCGAGGCGAAAGGCAAGCGGGGACAATAGCTCCCTGCGGCATATACAATAGGGGGATACCACATAGCGAACATTATCGAACATCACAAGTCACAAGCGGCTCAGACAATGACGCATAACATACAAAGTGCGTGACATAAAGGGGCCCATGAGGGGACCTCGAGTTGCGGTCAGCCAACTTGGTTGAACCTGAGCTCGAGTTCCGGGATGTAGTGCGAATTTCCGAAGCGGTCGGGAAGCGTCTTCCGGATAGCAATTACCCAGATCGGGTCGTACGTGGCGCTCTTCTTCCATTCGACCCACACCGGATGCGGTGTCTCCCACAAATGGACGTATTCCGCAGTTCTCTGTATGTCCCAGTATTAGAGTGATGTCTCCACCCAAAGGCACGGAAAGAGTCCCACTAAAGCTTTCATCCAGTCGTGCTGTTTCTTCAGTATGTTTGCGATCACGTCCACGAGAGTCGTCTTCACTTGGCGCTCCTTACGGTTGGGCATAGGAATATGAGGCCGTTGATGCGACTTCTCCTCGCCAGGAAACTGCCGAGACGGGTTGTTTAGCATGAGCCATACCTTCGGGGGCAGCGATGGCCGAGCAGGGCATGCTTGCCACAGGCCGTGGAGAAAGAAATGATCGTCTGTTAGGCTCACCATCGCTCTGTCAACAAGGCTCAAAGCGGGGAATCTCATCGACGACGCTTCCGGGAATTCCCTCTTCAGGAACTCCACTCGCTGAGCCCGAGTGTACCCCGCCTTGATCAGCTGGAAACCGATCTCCCCAGTCACCTTGCTCTGCAGCTCTATCCGAAAACCTGGGTACAGGTCCTTGGGTAGCGGGAGTTTTATCCGCTCGACGCTATGTGGCTTCTCCATGTCCTCCCTGTGTTGAACGGAGTAGCGTTCGTACACCCGTTCGTTGATCTCGGCTGGGTGTGTACTCGTTGAGGTGATCTGATCTGATATTACTATAGAGCAGGCTTACATGTACGCTTAGGTCTGTCATAGTTGTCACTGAGATCGATGTTGTATTCCTTGACTAACCGTCGTTGAGCCGACATTAGCTACGAGCACACCAGCAGCATCATTGACCTACTTTCGGGCCCATGGAAACTGGTCTCGTCAAGCTCGCCGCTTCCGTTTGCGCCGGACATCATGCGTAGGAGGGAGAGAGATTGGTGTTGTTCGCAACGTGGCACTTGTTGGACTGGGGCGTAACGTATATGCTGATGTTGGATAGCTAGACCTTTCTAGCGTGTAAACGAATCAGTGGGTCAAATGAAGAAATGAAGTTATCCTCAGCGTACATGCTCACCGTGAATAGAGGGGGCCGGGAGAAACGGGGTCCGACTCCGACTAGCACGGCTGCAGCGGCGCGCAGCAGGTGTACAGCCACACTTGACCCATCCCGGGATTCACCGAAAGCGGCCGCACTGGCAGAGGATCTGTGCCTTCCAAGTCGACCTCCCACAACCCTGGATAGTGAGATGCCCAGCACTAGACTTCCTGCTTTTCAACGAAACATCATCCGAACATTCAACTGTATGGAATCCTACGTTCACTGGAGTGCCTCCGAGTCCCTTGTCTTCGCCGATATGATCTTGCTGCCTAACGGTGCGTCTATGGACGAGGACAAACAGAGAAAGTTGCTTGTAGATGTGTTAGGGTTCAGCAAGAGCTATCTCGAAGACTCTCTATCCAGGATACGAGAACTCCTGAACCTATGGGACGCCCGTCGGAAGTCGGAAGTACAACATCGCGGGAGTCAAGAACGGGACGAAGGGTTCCTCGACCGCTTGAATTTATGGTTGAAAAGCATCGATACGCCGACCGCGGCTGTGAGCGGGCGCCGCAGACGACGAGGTTTGCAAACCTCGCTACTGAGTACTGAGCCTTCGCGGAACTCAGGATACCGGAAGATCTAACAGCGACGGGCATATCTCCTACAGCTATGTGACAAGCTCGCAAACAACGATATCTCCAAGATCGTCGACAACTCGTTCGGCGCCGCCTACAACGAGACCCTTGCCGCCGGCGAACTCCCTCACATGCGCTGGCACAGCGTGCATGTCCGTCACCTAGACGTACGTGTCCTCCTCCCTGTTGCGGTCTCTCGCACTCACGCTTCACACTCACATTTACTACATAAGCGATCGATCATCGCGGGGAACCACACCTCAGTCCCACAAGGCATTCCGCGTTCGCTTTAGCATGAGTCCATCCGCGGGCTCCTGATGGAGGAGCCTCTCGCTAGGGCCGCTAGCATGCCGCCGCACAAATACGTACGTTCCCTCTGGGACGCTGCGTTTCTCCGTGCCTTCGGGGAAGTTACCCGCGGCGAAGCTAGCCATCGCGGTCCCGCGATGGTCACGAAGGCACCCGGGATGTTCGCCGCCACGGCGGCCAGAGCGAGTACCCTTGGTGGAGGTTGACGGGCACGACAAGTCGGGGCAGCACCGTGCACAGTAGTCCATGCTCCCATCCCACGTGCGGACTGTGAGGAGATTCCTGTCGCTAGACCGTAGCTTGAGCTGAGTTTCTGTCGCCCGTGTGCATAGGGGTCGTCGGGTGCGGATGCCAAAGATGCGTCAGCTCAGAACGTGGCAGCTGTGCGTAGAGAAAGTGGTGTGGTGCAGCCTTACCCGGGGCTCGACGTTTAACGTGGTTGACCCCTGCATTCGTCGTCTGCTATTAGAGGCAGAACATCGTCTCCCGTCCCACATGGGCCTGGACCTCGCAAACCCTCTTACCGACGCTCAGTTTACACCTCGAATTGCTTACGCAGTCGCAGTAGTTTGAGGCCTCTGTACTGTCACCCCACCCGGACCAGGCCGCGATCAAAGACCAGCGATACACACATGCATTCCTACATCGAAAACCATACAACTGCGGTCTATAACATAGCGGAGGCAGACAGGAGAACAGAAGCAGGACAGCGGGAAAAAAGCGTATGTTGGCGGACTGCAACACCGAGCCTAAGAATAATTAATCTATGCTAGTCAGAACATTCTGAGATCACGAGTCAGCTCATCGATGGATCTCTTCGTTTCAAAGCAAAGTACGCACCACGTCATTGTCGTCGAAGGACCACCACCAAAGTAGCTCGCTCTTCTTCCCATCCGGTAGGCATTCGTTCATCGCTTCGTCCATGACCTTCTTGGCTTCTTCAAATCTCCCTTTCTGAGAAAGCCCATCACCGAGGTACCTCTCCGCCATGTCGTAGTTCGTCCACACGTAGAGGATCCTGTCCCATTCGAGAGACAAGGGCCGCCCTATCGTGAATGCAAGTCCCGATGCCTCCCTTAGGTGACACACCGAGACGAAACGCGCTGCTGAACGCAGTTCTTTGAGCAACTGCTCGTCTCGACAGTGTTCCTCGGTGACGTCAGCGAAGTTGAATTCCTCTGTGGCGCAGCCCAGCCGCTGACGCGCCTGCTCGGGAACCTCCAGAGTCAGCCTGTGTCTCTTGGCGTACTCGAGGAAGTAGTCGTGATTGAACGTCCAGCCGTATAGCAGTAACGGAGGTGACCTGCCATGGCCACCGAGGAGTTCAGGGGTGATGTTCTCCGTAGGCTTCCTGTTGGCAATGAGCATCTCCCATTTCTGCGCGAAGAGACGATGAATGGGTAGTAGTGGTTAGAAGACACGAATGCACGTACTGCTGTCTGGGCCTCTTCTGCTGCCTTGGTGAGCTTGAATCCTGGATTCGCGGGATCGGTACTACGTTCCCGCTGCAAGAGGTACTGCCCATTATACCAATGCGTAGGGTTGGCCTTCTTGCGTTCGCTGTCGTTTGACATCGGTGAGAAAGAGTAACTGAAGTTCGTATGAAGATTCGGGGCGAGAGCGGCGCGCGGGGTGTTTATATCAGAGAATAGAAACAGGCGCCTGTCTGCTGGATTCAAGGTCAGCTCAAACGTCTGCAGCACAGCTCGCAGGCCCGCGAGCTGGGACTAGAGAGCGACGCGAAAACTCGACAATTCAGAAGCTAGAGAGTTCCATGACTCGAGATGCAGAGTCGTCGCACAAGGTTTGAGTCCAGTTGTCATCGGGCTCAGAGCGGCACCCTCAGTTGAATTGTATGTATATCGTGATAAAGCTGTTTCTGATTGGGCGCATTGTACACAATCAATCTATTTCAACGAGTCTATGAAGCTCTCCCGCGCCACCATCTGCGTAGGAGGGAGAGAGATTGGATAGTGCCGGACGCTCTCGTGCTCTTATGAACCCTCAGGTGATTGCCGGCATGATAATGTCCTACGAGATTCGTGCTGTTCGCAATGTGGCACTTGTTAGACTGGGGCGTAACGTATATGCTAATGTTGGACAGCTAGAGTCTCCGAGCGTGTCGTCCTGTTCGTACCAGTGGATAGTGCGTCGGAGGGTCCTAGTCAAACGAATACTCACCGTGAATAGAGGGGCCGGGTCCGACTAGCGCGGCTGCAGCGCGCAGCAGGTGTACAGCCACACTCGACCCATCCCGGTATTCACCGAAAGCAGACCTGTGTATTCCACCGAGTCGAGTCGGTCGACCTCCCACCACCCTGAATAGTGAGATGCCCCGCATTAGACTTCCTCCCTTTCAACGAAACATCATCCGAACATCTAACTGTATGGAATTCTGCGTTCACTGAAGGCGCAACCTAGATGCCTCCGAGTCCCTGTCCTCGCCGATATATTCTTGCTCCCGAACGGTACGTGTATGGACTAGGACAAACAGGGAAAGTGGCGCGTAGAGTTCTCAGAGTCCAGCAAGATCTGGCAGAGACTCCTGTATAGATACGCTATCCCGCAGATTCTCCGGGAAGCCCATCGACAGTACAACATGGCGGGAGTCATGAACACCGCGTGGGTTACTTGGCCCTCCGCTTGAACGCTCTCGATCCCCCTCACGTAGCCAGCCGTGCGATGCGCACCGGGACCCTCCTACGGCACCTCATCTCTCCCTGCGATGCTCCGAAGCTCGCAGCCGCGAGCGGACGCGCCATGTTCCCAACTCTAGACTCCAGACGACGATGTGAGGCTGTAGCAAAGGCCGTGAATAACCTGCGCCATGCCAACCGGCGGAACTCCCCTTCTGCTGAGTGCAGCGAATCCGAGATAATACTCCTTGGACATGAGTGCTCTCCTCTGACTCTTGATTGTCGTATTGCATGGGTAGGATACTTCCGGATGCATAGCGAGAAGCTCGGGCACAACTCAGAAGGTGCTGCACCCTTTTCGACTGTAATCTGTGTGTGGTCTCTGTCGCCCGGGCCTGTGGTTGACGGCAGCCAGGCGATTGCAGCCTCCTAAAGAGTTAAGCAAGTGATAGACGACGCCATCGCATAAGTGAGTTCCCTCCATGACTAAGTTTCACCGCGTTCCGTGCACGGTTGCTAGGTTGTGTCAGCATCGAGGCAATCCCGTCCTCTTCTGAATTTGTCCTCTCATTTGACCAAAATTGCTTTTCCAGGCACGCCACGATCCATACCTACTAGTACGTCAACGACTCAATATCTTCAGTAGACGAGTAAGCGGTGCTCATCCTCTCTTCCAACTCATGCGTAATAACCGATGTGCTCCTTACAGGGGCGAGTTCGTTTCGCTGTCAACTGCCGCGGGACATGTAACCTAACCATCAGCGCCGCCACCCCTTATACCGCCAGACGTGTGTATACATATTTCTTACGCCTCCCAATGTTGCCCTTCTCCTGGACTCGAACGCAGGCATATACCAACATTCACCGCAAATGGACTTGCATTGTGTCAAGACGAAATATCCACTCTTGTGCGTAGCAGCCGCCTCCCCTCCCGGCAAAATCGTCTCACATCCCGAACCTCTGCAGCCTCCTCCCCATCGGGATCCTCGTCTGGCTCCCCGTCGACCCGCCCCTGTCCCTTGCCTCCGCACCCGCGCCCGCAGCCGCCTTCCCCCGCATCCCCACAGTCCCCGCTCGCCCCAACGCCCCGTCGTCCTTCCGGGTCCCCATCGCGCCCACGCCCACCACAGCCGTCGCGCACGCGTTCGTCTCCTTCGCCTCCGCGACTGTCGGCCGCGAGATCGAGAACGTCGTCGAGATGCGCTTGATGACCCGCAGCCTCAGCCCGGACCGCATGCGCACCGGCAGGCGCGACCGCTTCTCCGGGCTCCCCGGCGCGCCGCCGCCCTTCGTCGCAATATTCCGCGTCGTCCCGCCCGCGCCTTCCCGCTCTCGCTCTGACTCCGACTCCGACTCCGACTCGTACTCTGGTTCGGGTGCTGGAGCGGGCGCGGGTTGCGTCGCGCCGTGCGAGGTGTCGGAGAAGTCGTTGTGCAGGACGAGGACGAAGTCTTCCTCGGACCCCTTGCCGAACTTGACGAGGTCCTGTGGAAGCGGGCTGAACGCGGCGCCGGGCGACGCGACCGCCGTGGCCGTCGACGCCTCCGACACTCCGGACTGCTGGGCTGCCTCGCGGGAGCCGCAGCTCGAGCTGGACCCCGAGCCCGACCCGGACGAACGCGCCGACTCGGCGCTGGACCTGGAGCGCCAGTATCTGTGCGGGGCGTGCGTCGGCGCGGCAGAGACCGTGCTGTGGGCGCTTCGCGAGGCCGAGGATGCCAACTGAGGCTCCGCGACGTCCACGGACGGCGGGCGCGTCGCGATCGGCAGGACCATCGAGGAGGAGCACGCAGGAAGTGACGAGTCCTGCGAGCCCTCTGGCTCATCCTCGCTCCAGTGCGCGACCATGTCGAGCACGAACTGGGACGCGGTGGGAGTGAGGTCGTCCCGCTGCCTCTCCCCGAGGTCCACCCGGGGAATGGCCACGTCCAGCATCGGGAACGGTGCCTCTCGTGCCGCCCTCGTCCCCTGCACCCCCGTGGCCCTCTCTCCGGCAATGGCGTCGACGACCGCAGAGATGGCCGACACAGACGGCGTGACGGTCTCCGCGTTCCGCCCGCCCTCCTTCGCCTTGACTTTCCAAAACGCCGTGCGTTTACGCCAGTCCGTCGTCTGCCTGCGCGCGTCGAGCGTGCACCGCACCTGCGCCGTGTACACGTCCTGCGTGCGCGGGCCCGTGAGCGGCTCGAGCAGCCCGCGCCACACGCTCCCCGGGTGCCTGACCGCGTCCTTGATCGCCGCCACCAGGGCAGCCTCCGCGTCCTCCCCCTGGGCAACGCGCGTGTACGCCGCATCGACGACCGGCTTGTGCCCCCCGACAGCGATCATGAGCTGCACGAAGTGGCGCAGGCGGTCGCGCTCCGCCTCCGGGGCGGGGTCCCGCGCGCCGCCGACCGCTCGCGCCACGCCGCCGGGGGTGTCCATGATCGAGTCGAACATGGACGCGAACGACGGCTCCTCCTTCGTCTTCAAGTCGCCCGCGACGGACGCGAAGAGGGCCTGGCGCAGCTGGACGACCTCGTCCTGGAGCGCGACGACCTGCTCCGCGTACTCGGCGCACGCCTCCTCCGCGACCTCCCGCGCGATGCGCTCCGCGGTGAGCGCGGCCTTGAGGCTGGCGACGCGGGCGACGGCGTCGAGCTCCTCGCTCGCCGCGGGGCCGTGCTGCCGCGCGCAGCGCTCAGTTCCTGCCTGAGCTTGCGGGCGATCTGTGGTGTGGGCCAGCGGGGCGACGAAGGATGGGAGCCGCAGCGGCTGAGACGGCTCGCTGGGCAGGTCTGGGTAGGAGATGGGCGCGGAGAGTTCCAAGGGGCTCAAGGGGGCGATGGGGACGAGAAGGTCGGCGACGGAGTGGGAGTGGAGGAGAGGGTGGATAGCGATGTGGGAGATGGAGGGGTCCGAGACGGGACGGGTCTGTGGGGTGACGCTGGGGAGGGATGCGAGGCGGGCGACCTCTGGGTCGGACCTTGTGCGGCGGTGGAAGAGAGTCGTCATGAGCTTGGGTAAACGCATGGTGGGTTAGCGATGTGTGCCTGTATGGCGTGGTGTGTAGCGAATGTGTGCTCGAACGATGGGTAGACTGTGCGACCAGTGCGCAACGCACTCGAACATGGGGGCTGACAACAACCCACCTGCGGCCCTCCTGAAACGAGACCGAGCAAGGTGAAACGAGAGATTACCTCAAGGTGCAAACCACGTCACACTATATAGCCTGGGCGCAAATGTACTCTCGTTCAACGATGAGCGCATGGATAACAAAGCGAGATGGGCTGGTATACACAAGTGCGAACCAAGTAATGTAAACGATCCTCCTCCGACAGATTCCTCCTACCGCGACCCGCCCGCGCTCACCGAATGCTCAAAATGCCGCTGTTCGAGCTCCCCAGCCCGCGCGCCTCCTTCGCCTCCTTCTTCCGCACCTTCGGCGCGTCCCAGATCTTCCAAAACTTCAGGTTCTCGTCCCCCGCCGCGGTCGCGACGAGCTCCCCGTTCGGGCTCACCGCCGAGAACAGCACCCGCGAGTCGTGCGCGTCCTTGATCTCCGCCACCTTCTCCATCCCCGGGTAGCTGTGCACCATGATCGCGTTCGTCGGGTACCCGTGCGTCGTCAGGAACTCCTTCTTGTGCGCCCCCCACTGGATCGACGAGATCTGCGCGGGCGTCACCAGCGAGTGCAGCCGCGCGCCCGTCGTCGTGTTCCAGATGTGCACCGTCGCGTCCGACGTGCCCCCGCCCGACGCGAGCAGCGCCGGCTGCCACGGGCACCACGCGACCGCCTTCACCGCCGCCGTGTGGTTGCGCTTCGTCCAGCGCGGCCCCGTGCGCGACCCGCTCGCCTCGTTCCCCGCGTCGCCCACGCGCCCGTCCCACACGTTCAGCACGTTGTCGTTCCCCCCGCTCGCGAGCAGCTCGCCGTCCGGCCGCCAGCGCAGGCCGCACACCTCGCCCTGGTGCCCGAGCAGCTCGCCGACCTTGTGCCGCGCGACGCGCACGTCGTGGTGCCAGATGCTCCCGTCCTGGCAGCCCGAGCTCAGGATGTGCCCGTTCCACGCGAGCACGCCCACCTGCGCCGCGTGCCCGCCCATCGTGCGCAGCTTCGTCTGCGTCTCGACGTCCCACAGCTCGACCGCCCCGGACGGGTAGCCCACGCCGAGGAACTGCCCGTCGTTCGAAAAGTCCAGCGAGGCGATGTACGAGCCCTCCGGGCCCTCGCTCACCAGCACCACCTCCCCGCTCTCCGCCTTCCACATGTACGCGCTGTTCCCGAGCGCGATCCCCACCGCGTTCGTCGCGCTCCACGAGATCAGGTTCAGGTAGAAGTCGTCCTGCATCCCCGGTGCGTCGAGGATCTTGTACGGGTATGTCGAGATCTTGCGGTCCTTAGACCCCGTCGTCCCCGAGCTTCCTGCGGGGGCGGAGCCCGCGCGCGCGTAGAGCGGGCGGACGAGCTCGCGCGCCTGCGCCATGAGCGGGTCGGAGGACGCCGCGGGTGGGGGCTCGTGGTACGCGAGGATACGACGATTCAGTGGCACGCCTGTTGCGGCTGCGAGGCGCGCGGTGTGGCCGGGGGAGGCGGATTCGGGGTTGAGGGACATAAGGTCGAGCGTCGCAGCGACTTCATCGGCGGGGTCGCGGGTGGTGATGAACCGGTCCCGGTTGTCGCGCTGGGAAGTGGGTGAGTCCATGATACTCGTGAGGGGAATGAATGAGAGATCATGGGGCGTGCAAGGTATATATGCGAAGCCACACTACGCCCTGGAGCGTGGCGAGTGGCACCTGCATTGTCCGGCGGATTTGGACTAGCAGACTAGCCACTGGCAACAGAGGCAGTATAAGGGCTGTCTAGGACGTATAAGTGCAACCTAGCACCCATACACTTCGTCCTAGTGCACATCGCCGGACTGCCATCTGAACACAGGACTCTTGCGCACTAGGCGCGACGGAAAGCCACAGACGCAAGCATCCTCTCACCCACCCGGTGGTTCCTCCAGGACAGCACCATCCAGCCACACACCACACAACACCACCATCTCACGAAACCCAAGCACGAACACTCACCGACGGCTGCGACCGCGAGCGTTTCTCCGACTTCGGCGGTGGCGGGACGTAGTCGCGCGTGACGACGTCCAGCCTGCTCTCGACGCCGCCCCTGCGGATGACGCCTGCGCTCGCCTGCCGCTGCAGCGTCTCCGAGACGGGGATGGACCGCTTGACGGGGGACGGGGGACGGCTGGCGACGATGAACGGATTCGAGGCGTCGGCGAGGTTGTTTGTCCCGAAGAAGGACGAGGAGAGCGGGGTTTTGGTCTCTGAGCGAGAGCGGTGGCGGGTGGGTGTCTTTGGCGGGTACGCCATTTTGTTTCGTGGTGAAGATGGAGCAGAGGAGAAGGAGAGTAGAAGAGAGGAGAGGAGAGGAGAGGAGAGAGGGAGGAGGTGATGGACGGTGGCTGAACAACGATGCAAACACGCGCTCCCCGCGCGCCGCGCCTGGGTTCGTCTTCGCTTCGCGTGATCGCGTTTGAGCGGCTGTCTATTTACTGCGGACGTGGGTTCGAATCCCACTGTCATCATCCTTCTTTTTTTGTCCTTATCAGGCCACCGCCCCGTCCACGCGGCCGTGGACGACAAAGTACTGCTGAACTTTGACAGACAGACGTTGCGACTCGCATCGTCGGGTGGCAGAGATCGAAGTTGCCAAAAATCACCGCCAATGATATTCGAACAGGGTCATGTAAAAAAACTACAGCATGCTATGTCTCATGCACTCTCCCGTCTTCCACGATTGAAGCTTTCTCTCGAGCCGACCTGAAGCATGATGTTGGATCTTGGGACAGTCATACATCTATGCATGGAGCGGACCGATAACAACGTACCTTTGCCGCTGAATGCTGAGATAATCAGATGTCTGATTGACATTCACTGCTCAAATACCAGCTTCACCTAAGGTGCGGACACCATCAGCATGCGGGCATTGCTGAACTTTGCGATGGAAAGACCTACTTCTGATATCTTCTTCTCGAACTCCTCCTTGATTGCCTGGGATAAGTACATGGAGGCTTTCCATCCCTTCTTAGAGCATTGGCCATTTGAACAGCTACTCAGTCCGTCCATCAATGGTCCCAAAAAGGACGGGTCACATGGGAGGTTGGCATCCGGCTGTGACCTCAATGCTGTAGCTAAGCTCCTCAAGTACTCCTTCCAGGGCATAGGAATGCACAGATAATCGCCATCCCTGTAATCGATTGTGGAAGGGAGGGAACAATGCTGGTTGCACCGTTGCAACTGGTCAAGATGCACGTGGGACATCCATCGTGGGAACCCGTTGCCGCAGTCCAAGACAGATCCAGCAACGTCCCCGCACTTCTGCCTGTACTCGAACAAGCGATACAACGCCTCAGCTGTGACGAGTCGATACTGAGCCGCATGCGGAGGGTAGATGGGGAAACGCAGAGTGCGCTGCGCAGCGGCGCGAGCGACATCCTGGAAGCCAGCGACACACGCGAGCGCGTACACCGCGAACGGCTTTTGCTCAATGAGCTCATAATGCATGAGGAACGGACGCATCCGGCTGGTCACCCCGACCATGTTGTATTTGCGCGCGGCTTCGAGGAGGTCTCCGATGTCCTCCAGGGAGAGGGGCGGCTCCTCCGCGACGTGGCAGATCGGGAGCAGCTTCTCCCAGACCGTGCTTGGCTCCGACACGTCCACGATGGGCTTGGGGGTTGTCGTGGAGGCGGGAGACGGTGGGAGGGTGAGCATGTCTGCGAAGACGGAGGATACGTCTGCGATGCGCCTCTGATGAACGTGGAACTCGGTGCGGTCAGAGGTCCTGATCACGAGGTCTCCGACCGACGGGTCGCGGTATGGTGCGCGTTCCACGACAGGGGGAGTAGAGTCTGACATGGAGGTAGTGAAGAGCTGTCGAGAATGAGAAGAGGAAGAGGACGAACCAGTAGTCTCATATAGCACTTGGAGCATCTCATGAGGAGATAACTTACCGCAGCACAACGCTTCTCAAGCACGTTCTCGAGGTGTGATCGACACAGGATCTCCCAGCTGCGATTCATGGGAACGCCGAGTGGGGTCCTGCATGTCTCGTAGACAATGCATGCTCAGGTCGAGAGATGATCGAGGACTGGGCTTACGATGCACGCGCCTCATTGCCGCCGTCTTCGACCGGCCCTTCCCGGGTAAGCCTTCCGTTCACCCACTCATCAACACTTATTGCAACCGAATATCTCCGTGCAATGACAGGTCTAACGACCTCCGAAGACACCAGCACGCATGCAGCATGAACTACGACTGCTCGACCGGCCTCAGCTACTTACGGATTCACAAGGAACCCCGACACTGGCTCAAAGCCAGCACACGCCCATCTGCCGTTTGCAAGGAGTCACTCTTTCCTCTCAGTCAAGCATATCTTGACCCTTGTGCCTGGAGCACCCGGCTCGTCCAGATCCGGGCAGCCGGTTTGCACAGCCGTTGATCAACATGCTACATACTATCGTTCAACCCGTCCAGTCCAAACCACGAATCGAATCAATAGATAACAACAGCATCTTGGGCTTCTTACACCAAACACCGAAAGTTCACTCGGATCAGTCTCAACAGGGTACCGTACGGACCCAATGGTGAGTATTGCCTTAGCATCTCTTACCTGGTCGCAAGCTCATACGACATCCGCATCTTTGCAGATCGTCCCCCTTTTCGCCACAACCATGTCCCAATCCGAGCTGGAGTTTAGGTCTCCTTTCGAGGCTATCACCCGCGATCCTCTAACGCTCATCGAGCTTCGCATGCGATGGTTCTCAGGAAAGATACGCGCCAAGCCCACTTGGTGGAAGAAAGTCTACGACGAAGAGATCGTAACAAAGTGGTGCAAGGAGATCATCGAGCACGACGCGGCCATGGTCGAACGATTCTGGGGCGGTGACGAGTATTGGAAAACGGGCCATGGTGAAAAACAGTGGCCCCGGGACAAGATCACCAACGTCCAGCTTAACTACCTCTTCGACGAACTGCGATACGACGCGAGCCGATACGATGACGAAACTGGTATCTTTGTGGGCATACATTCCATTCAGGTCCTCGATTCTAGCTGAATTTGGCTGTGTGCAGGCGACGGCGATCCACAAGGTGCACGAGTCGCGATCTCTGATACCCGCCGATGTCAAGATATCCCTCGTGCAAGGCGTCTCTTCGCTCGAGGATGTCCCAGACGAAGAGAAGGACTGGCATCCGGGGTCAAAGAAGCAAGTGCTGGACCTCGTTCATCCATCAATGTACTGCTTGCGCATCGGTCGGTCGCACGTCTACCGCCACGACCAGAGTCAGGGAGCCCCCACTGTACCGCTCACGCTAGGGGACTACCTCAGCCACCGCCTAGATTTTCAGAGGTTCTTTTACAACTCTAAGAAGCCGTTCTGCATCTCACATGACTACCAATGGCTCCCGACGGACTTTGAGGTCTCCGAATCGGGTGAGGTCGAGCCCCTCGCGTACATCAACAACCTCCATCCTATCGACCACCGCGCCCTATACTCCACCATCTCCTCCATTCTCTCCCGCTTCGTGCCTCTATTCGAAAAGGTGCTCTCCGATGCGGTCAGTCCCTGGCCTCCACTTGCCGTACGCCCCAATCCGTATAGTTGGTACGACCACATCACGGTCCCCGCGCCAGCCTACCGCGAATATGGAGATAACCAGGATGCCTACGCTGAATGGGAGTCCAAGTACCGATGGCCCTCCATTCCTGAACCCGAACCTTTCGTCCCTCCCACTGCTACCAGTGCGGACGAGGAGGACAAGATGAAGATCTCGCTCCGCGGGCGTACGCTCCAAGTGATCGTCAAGCTCGCGAACATCGTTCTCACCCCAGATAATCCGAAGTACGCCGGCGGCTCGTGGCATGTCGAGGGAATGGCGAACGAGAACATCGTCGCTACGGGCCTCTACTACTACGCGTGCGAGAACATCACTGAGTCACGCCTCGATTTCCGGACGGCGATCGGCGCGGAGGGCCAGGTGACGGTGCTAGACTACCAGCAGGACGATGTACAAGGGTACATGGCCGCCTTCGGGCTGGACCGCAACAGCCGGTTGAACCAGCATTTGGGCCACGTCGTCGCGGAGGAGGACAAGTGTGTCGCGTTCCCTAACATCTACCAGCACCATGTCGACGAGTTTGAGCTGGCGGATGGGACGAAGCCTGGGTACCGGAAGATTCTGTGCTTGTTTGTTGTGGATCCCTTCGTTCGCATCTTGTCGGCGAGCGACGTCCCCCCACAGCAGGAACACTGGGCACTGGACGAGGTGGCAAAGGCGCTGATTTTGGGGAAGCTTCCGCAGGAGCTGTACGATGCGGTGTTGGAATACGCGTCCGCTGGGTTGGTGTCGGGCAAGGAGGCGGAAGAGGATCGGAAAAAGCTGATGAAGGAGCGGTCTCGGTTCGTGGCGGATCATAACGAGCGGGTCTTCGAGGTAGACTTCAACATGTGTGAGCATTGAAGATGTCTCTACTATTTGCACGTACTCTATGGTTATCAGCATTAGACGACGAACGCCAAGCCGTGTCTACTAGTGCATGCTGAAGAGCAAGTCTCATCCCTGTTGTGCACGGCCCGGTAGCGGCTGCTGTAGTTGCTTCTGAAGTCATCGGCGTACCGGTTCGTCATGTACCACAAGAAACCCTACCTGATACTCTTCTGAATTGTGTGACCTTCAATTTATGACCATCAGCACATCTGCTATCGAAGTGCCCGTGGCTCATGTCTTACGTTGCAAATATACGGGCGCTAATCCAATCCAAGCATACTAGTCGTATATTGAACCGAGCGGTACCTAGCTCGTCTGTACATATACATCATCTTGTTCCGAGAAACAAGTAAATACGTTTCGTTTCAACCAGAAAGGACTCCGCAGCACAGTATCCCCTACTGTAAAGACCGACAATGCAGAAAGGCTTCAGTCAGCCATGAAGACGTCATCTGTACTATATCCAACGTCGTCTTCTGCAACTACCTCGTCGTCTGTCAGGGCGTCGCCACCGTCCTCAGTATCCAAGTGTACCGCTCCCAGCATGCTCTCGACGCGAGCATTCTCGTCGACCTCGTCATCCTCTTCATTCTCTTCGTCCTCGTCGTCCTCACCGTCCTCATCATCCTCACCTTCTTCGTCGTCCTCACCGTCCTCGTCGTCCTCGCCATCGACTCCGGGAACCGCTTCTGCAACGAGTGCATGAACCGGCTTGTGCCGCTTCGGCCTGTGAGCCGAAGGCGAATGAGGGTCAGCAGGAAGCGCTGCAGCTTGGCGCTTCGGGCGGTTGGTGGGCTGATATTCTGGGGAATCGTTGGCATTCGAAGGGCTAGAGCGATTCACCTCTAGCCCATCCATTGCCTCCTGGAGAGATTCAACGTGCCTCGTGATAAGTGCGTCTTCAATGTCGCGGTCAGGGGATAGCTGTTCCGAGAGTATAGATAAAGATATTTCCTTGGAGGTCATAAAAGAAACACATACCAAGTGTTTCGGGTTCAGTAGCGGGGCTTCAGGCTTGTTCGCAGGCGGATCAAACCAGCTGGTTTGGATCTTGCATTCGGCGAATTGCTCCTGCAGCGGAAGCCTGGCGGCATAGAGGAACTGCGAGGAAAGAGAGACGGGTCTGCTTCGTCCTTCGACCACCGGATGAAGGGTGAACACCGGGACATTTAGATAGATGACTTCGGGCAAAGCGCGTTTCTTGTACTCGCGGATACGCTTCCTGTAATGCTTTCTCGCAGCATGCAGGACTTCTTCATTCTCGATGTAGGCCCACGTCTCGGCTGCAGTGGGCTTCTTGATGGTTTCAGGTCGAGACCACACGAGTTGCGAGAAGTAGGGGCCTATAATGAGGAGAGCGTACACATGCTGCCACGTCTCGTGGTATTCGAAGGCAGCCATGGCTTGGTCGTAAACTTGCTCAACGCATTCCAGCATTGAAGCCCAAGCGGTAAGCGCAGCCTTCGGGTGGTCCCAGACCTGACGCGTATTCAGGCCCTTTATCTCCCATAAGTCAACGAGCTTGCGAACGACGTCGATATCGTCGCCGTCGTGGGAAAATGTCATCATCATACGGACGAAGTCTGGGACCTGTGCCTTGACAAAGCCTTTCTTATCCAGCTTGTCGCCTTTGGCACCGGCCGGGGCACGGGTTATACCGAAGAATGCCTGAGGGGTATACGAGATGGTGCATTTGGGGTAATCGAGAGGCTGGATGGTCTCGCAGAGATGGGACAGAATGTGGCTGTAGACGGTGTACAAGTATCGTTCCGATGAGCGAGTCGTCCAAGCGTTCGCCAATGCATTGGAGAGGTCGTCTTCGAACCTCTCCTTCGAAAATACTATGAGCTGTTCCACCTCTCTAAGTCAGACACGATGCGAAAAGACGAGTACTATGAACCGTCCTACATGTGTCTCTCGCTCGATAAGGAGCTTAGCTTGTTCAACTTCACGCGAGAAGCCGCTGTCCATGGTCTGGAATCTGGAGAGGTGAAGATGAAGGGCGATAGGGAGGAAGAGAGCCTGGGCCGACGAGGGATTGTGTTGGGAGCATCAGCCATGTTCTCTTATATGTACCATTGATCTATTGGAAGCCTATGTGCTAAGAGTCATAGGCGGCTTGATAATGACTCGAAAGGTCGCAGGAACATAAAACGAACTTTTTTTGTGATTATGTGATATGAATGACCGGATCGAACACACAGACAAATGCACACCAGGCAGCGCCGGATGTACATACCCTGGAGAGGTGGAGCACTATGCGGCCGGGCAGTGACTGGTGAGGGCCCAAGAACAACAGAATGAACGTTTCGGGGAACAATGACTGAGCCAATACCTGATCGAACATATTTCCGATGACCACTACTGGTACATATAGAAGGAGGTGAGTCAGCCTAACCGGCCGCCGGGCCCCCAAAATGACACTAGAGTTATCAGTCTAACTTTGGGAATACAAACAGTGTGCTGAGTTTGTGCTCCGAGCCTGAGAGAGGAAGGAGGGCTTGTCGATCGGTGAGGAGTTCCACAGATAAGGGATTGCGCTCTAAATGTAGTGGCAAGAGCTAGTGTGTTCTTTTCTTGTCGCTCGCTCAGTTCATCTCGCGCCTAACAGGCGCCTGTCTACCTGGATTAAAGGTCAGCTCAAGCGCAGGCAGCGGCGAGATCGATGGCATCGTCCCATGCTAGGTTTGTCAAGCCCAGGAGGCCGGTCCCAAGTGGATGGTGGCGCGGGAGAGCTTCATAGACTCGTTGACATAGATTGATTGTGTACAATGCGCCCAATCAGAAACAGCTTTATCACGATATACATACAATTCAACTGAGGGTGCCGCTCTGAGCCCGATAACAACTGGACTCAAACCTTGTGCGACGACTCTGCATCTCGAGCCATGGAACTCTCTAGCTTTTGAATTGTCGAGTTTTCGCGTCGCTCTCTAGTCCCAGCTCGCGGGCGCTGCAGGCGCTTGAGCTGACCTTGAATCCAGCAGACAGGCGCCCGGTTCTATTCTCTGATATAAACACCCCGCCCGTCGCTCTCGCCCCGAATCTTCATACGAACTTCAGTCACTCTTTCTCACCGATGTCAAACGACAGCGAACGCAAGAAGGCCAACCCTACGCACTGGTATAATGGGCAGTACCTCTTGCAGTGGGAGCGCAGTACCGATCCCGCGAATCCAGGATTCAAGCTCACCAAGGCAGCGGAAGAGGCCCAGACAGCAGTACGTGCATTCGTGTCTTCTAACCACTGCTACCCATTCATCATCTCTTTGCGCAGAAATGGGAGATGCTCATTGCCAACAGGAAGCCCAGGGAGAAGATCCCTCCTAGACTCTTCGGCAGCCGTGGCAGAAACCCTCCGTTGCTGCTATACGGCTGGACCTTCAACCTAGACTACTTCCTCGAGTATGCCAAGAGACATAGGCTGACTCTGGAGGTATCGGAGGAGGCTCGTAAGTGGCTGGGCTGCGCCACGAAGACATTCAATTTCGGTGATGCCACTGAGGAACATTATCGAGACGAGCAGCTGCTCCAAGAAATGTGTCACGCAGCGCGGTTCGTCTCCGTGGGTCACTTAAGACGATCCACTGGATTCGTTTTCGAGATAGGGCGGCCCCTGTCTCTCGAATGGGACAGGATCCTTTACGTGTGGACGAACTACAACATCGAGGAGAAGTATTTCGGTTATGGATTCTCTCGGAAGGGGAGATTCGAAGCAGCCAAGAAGATCGTGGACGAGGCGATGAATGAATGCCTACCGGATGGGAAGAAGAGCGAGCTACTGTGGTGGTGGTCCTTCGACAATGACGTGGTGCGTACTTTGCTTTGAAACGAAGAGATCCATCGATGAGCTGACTCGTGATCTCAGAACGTTCTGACTAGCATAGATTAATTATTCTCAGGCTCGGTGTCGTAGTCACCCGCCAACACACGTTGTTCACCCGCTGTCCTGCAGCTGTTTTGCTGACGTCCCCTTTCTGTTTGTCTTCGCTGTACCATGGATCGGAATTGTATCATAGTCGATGTCGCAATGCACGTCTCTAATCGCGACACAGTACGGGTGGGATGTGGTACAAAAGCTCGCCGCAGGCAATCAACTACTGCGGCCGTGTGAGTATGATTACAGTGCTTTGCAAAAAAGATTGCAGTGCGAAGCGCGCACAATCCTGTTTGCCTCTGTTTGCTCAGCCGGAGAAACGCCCGCAATGCCGGGAGCCTCTTTCCAGCATGGTCGACTTTTCAGCTACAAACCTACCGAATATATTCATAAAGTTATATTGCGGAGGCAGAGAACATCGTCTTTTATTTTGGCAGTAGGAAAGCGGGCACAGACTCAAGCACGGCTTTGACGGACGGAGTCCTTGTGAGCGCCCGGTTCCCGAAACAGAAATCCTCGCCGTAGCCGACGGGGGACCAAACAGGGGCAAACAGGATTTTGCGCGCTTCGCACTGCAATCTTTTTTGCAAAGCACTGTATATATCAAGCGAACGTCTATAGGAAGATCCGCGAAGAGCCTAGTCTCGTGACCAGACGTTCGGAGCTTTGAGCGGAAATGAAAAAACCGGGACTTTCCGCGCTCCTGAACGTCTGGTGGATCCACCCCCGTGACTCCCCGCTCGGTGACCTGTGTGACATACCGACGCCCCGTTAAGGTAATCCGACAAAGTCGGAGGGCGCCCTCGCGGCTGCACGCTGTCCTAGTTACAAGCTTGCATACCTCCTGTACTGTGCACAATGGCTCGAGCTCTCGGTCAACAATCTCCTCCACGCACTCCAGGGCAAACTCCTCGAGAGCCTTCCTAGCGCCCTGGGGCCGTACATGATGGTGTTGTGAGGAGGATGTGCGAGGGACCTTGTACCAGCGCTCGAGAATGCGGGGAAGCTCCTCGCTGCCCATAAGAGCGCTCCGCTCGTACTGGACCTTAGGGTCTGAGATGCATGGGGAGATTTATATCTACGGACTCCATAAAAGCCAAAATTGACTTACAGCGCCTTGCATAAGTCTGTGAACGCGCTGATTTTTTCTCTCCGGCATCTACACTAAGCGACCTGCCCAAACAGGCCACATGATGGTCACAGGTCTGGAGCCCACGGCCCTCGCTGGCATCACAGACGAGTCTGCGATACACGCGTCTCGCACGTTCATGGTTGTTGACAGTCCATATTGCAGGGAGATGCGCTTGGTGAGGAATGGCACGGTCACTGATGTTCTCTGAACAAATAGAAGGTGATGCTCCACAAAGTAAGGACCGCAATTGATTACCCTCAACGGTCAAAACGTTTGCAGTGCGATTTGCAGACCATTAGCCTCGTTCTCTTACGCTCGACATGGGACATGGCAACACAATGTCTAGCGAGATCTGGAGATGCAGGAGGCGCTGCCACTAAGTACGCATCCCTCGTGATTGCGCCTTTGCTCCAGACATGAAGTAAGCAGGTGAATTGTGTGGAGATTAGAACATGAGCATTAGACCACTTTATGCGCGTTCATATGTAGGATAAAATGAGATACAAACATTTTTTATCCATTATACACATAGTGAACTTCTTGTATATCGAGTCAGTAGCTCTTCAATTGTGACGTGCCGTTATGGCGTAGTAGAAGTCTTCGTGACCATAATGTGGCTTACTTAGGCAGGTCGCCTAGCGTAGACACCGGAGAGAAAAAAATCAGCGCGTTCATCATCAGCAAAAATTCACTTGCCTCGAGGGAGCTATAGATTCTCCAGAGAGTGATTAGACAGTCGAGGCAAGTACCCTGTTATGGAGACCGGCCTAGCTCCTACTAGCGCCTCAAGAGGTCACGCGAGACCTACGTAGAAGCTCAGGAGTGCTCTCGAGCACTCCCAAGCGCGCATCGAGGCGTCGATAGACATGATAGATCCGAGTATACAGCCATAGCACGCACTCCTCACGAATCATCCATATGACATACAGAACCCAATATCATTCGAAGACTATTGTACCCGTTGCTAATCGCTGTAGTACATTAATTCCCTCGAGTCAGTGGCCTTGCTCCAGCTCGTCTTCGCTATCAGTCAGCCCTGTGCGTGCTTCAAGCTCGGCTTTTGCGATCTCCATGGCTGCGTTTGTGACTCGCACAGTATGGGTGTCCAGTGCAATGCCACCGCCACCACGACTAAATGGAGGTAGAAGTTCTCATCAGCATACCCCATAATGTTGCGAAGTTAAGCACGGAATGTACATACAAAGCCTTCTCATACATCCGCATGCGGATGTTGGAGAAAATCGGCCCATTGTTGCCGCTAGCGTAGCTCTCGAGGTCGCTCTTGAAGGCCTTGTAGTGCGTGCCATGGCGGCTCTCTGAGAATGACTCATGTAAACGACGACCGGTACTCCATTCTAGAAGGTGCGCGTGTATCTATAAGATGTTAGTATTCAACGTTCGACATGAATAAGGTATGCACATACCACAGTTGTAACAAATGCGATTGTAGGAATGGGAATTGGGTTGAAAGTGTCCGGTGCGAGAAACCCTAAGCCTGTTCGTGAACTACCAAAGAATGCGATCTGGATGGCCTGGCCGATGAACTTGTTCTGGAACATGTGTGCCCTAGTACCTGTTTCAAAGTCGTATGTCTTTATCTGAAGTTAGCCGAAGACATTTTAAAATGCATGTCGAAGTTGAACCTAACCTTATGATGGAAGATGCCGTCAGTCATGAGATTGGTGACTAGAGACATGTTCCGTCGCTCTGCAGATAGACTTGCATGCTCAGTGATGCCATATGCAACCGCAGTGCGATCACGAATAGCATCTGAAATGTCACCGTGAATATTGGACTTCCGGCCTCCGATCTATGAATGTAATTGAGGAATCAATGGCCCGTCAGTTATGAGCCGTAACAGTGTTCATATCATAATATTGAGACTTACCAAGCGTATCATGCGATCGGACAAAGCCCAGGGTACCGGAACCTTGCGTGCAGCACATGCAGCTTTCCATGCCCTCTTAGCAAAAGTGCGCTGTTCGACAGAGTCAGGGAAAGCATTCTCAGTGCAGATGTACAAGTAATAGTAGCGAGTTATAGACTCCTGCAAGAGGTCTTTGACCTCGTCCGTGTAGTCGCTAGCGTTAGGTCGAGATCCTAGGACAATGCCAGGCCGAAATGGTGCAAGAATTAGAGAAGAACCGTCCGCAGGTGTAGTATCTGCGGGCTCTACAGTATCGACCTCGGAGGAACCCTCACGTCCCCCGATGGCCATTGAAGTCAGTGATTGGCCCTGTATAGAACTGATGCGGGACAAAGACGCCGGTTCCGCTGACTCGGAGGACGTCAAAGAAGGCAGAGCAAACAGCTCCGCAGGTTCTGTGGACAGAGAACTCCTATGCACAATGTTGAGTAGCGTGAGATGCGCTGTCTCAACTGATGGATTTAAAGTATACGTACTCCTGGAGTGTGGACTGCATCGTCTGCGGAGTGGCATTGCCTGTGACTACACCGGTACCTTCACGGCGCCGGATTCGTGGGGTGACAGCGGTTCGTGTGGGGGTGGAGGCTTGCCTTCGTATCTGAAAAGCCAGATGTCATTCGCACTCTTCATGAATGATATGTGAAAGTTCGGATCAACGCACCGATGCTCTCAAACTAATAGCCGGAGGCTCGTCTTCTTCCTCAGACTCGGGAGGGAGACGGTCTGGATCATCGTCTATGGCATCTGCATCATCTTGTTTCGCCTTCCGCTGCTTTTTAAGCTTCTTACTTGCAGCGTGATAAAGCTTCTTGTATTTCTCGAGCTCAACATTTGCCTTTGCAGCCTTTTCGTTGTCTAGCACATCGTTTACTAGGCAGTGAGTGCTGATAGCAAGTATGGAACAATGTGGGGCACTCACTGATAGCTTGTTGTTTTGTCGAGACCTTTCGAGTGCGCTTCAGTGCTGTGCTTGTAGACTGACAAATGAGCGACTGAGTATATGATGATAGCTTCCAGAAAAGGGCAAAGCGATAAGGAAAAATACCTCGCCATCCGAGAAGATCATCTCTTCCTCATCCTCCTCTGTGGGGGAGTCTGACTCGACTGGTTTGCGTTTGGGCATTCTGAATAAAAGAATGAGGACAGGGGATGCAGAGACGGGGCTGGGGCAGACGATAGCTCTGCTACACTCCTAATTCCTCAAAGGGTCTTGGTTGAGCCACGTTGGTGGCGCATCGCGCACGGACCTGGTGATGGTCAGCGGCGTAGCTACCAATAAGTCGGAGGCCTTTGATTTTCAATACAAGACTCACCTCGCTATCGCACCATGTCCCACTCAGTAAACTTCCGGCGTTCAGTTGCTCAGTACTCATGCGGCTGTTGTGGGACTAAAGTCGACACTCTACAGGGAGTCCGCTCCCACATCTCACAATCTCGTAAATGTCGAGACGCTCTCAACCATCTCAACAACTCTATTGTTCACTCGGATTCTGACATAACTCACCATGAAGATACTACTATCTCTCCAAGTCCTCCATCACCGCTTCTGCACACGGAAGCCCTTGAAGGTAAGCTTCCTCGCATTGATGTCAAACAAGCACAACCTGACATCGCAGGCGTACCCCTAGCCCGTCCCAGGCATGTGACTGTTGAAGAGGTTGAAGATATTGAAGCAGGCGGGCTGCCCAAGCATCCATGGGTTGGCGAGTTTCCAGCTGAGGTTGCCCGTGTGTATGGCCATGGGGAAACTGCATTTGAACACCTCAGTAAAACCAAACGGCAGAAAGGGGAGACTTCATTCGCACCTTTCGCCGACCGCGATGAGTGGGATCTTGCTAGCTGGCTGGTCAAGAGCGGCCTTAGTCAGAAAGCTATGGAAGAGTATCTCACCTTGCCCATCGTGCGTGCCATTAGTATGTTCCCCCTACCACTTGTTGTTCTCACGAATGTCTGTACAGACACGTAATCGAACATGCCTATCTTACCGCAACAAGTATACCTTTCTCAACAAGGTTGACGACCTACCAAGAGGTCCTGACTGGATATGCGATGAGTGGGAGCTTATCGGAGACGTTGCAGATGAAGATGGGGAGATGAAAACGGAGGAACTAGAGCTTTGGCGACGCAACCCAGTTGAGTGTATCCGAGAGCTGCTGGGAAACCCTGTCTTCCGAGACGCAGTGAGGTATGCACCCGAGAAGCTGTTCTGCGACACCGCGGGAGACACACGCATCTATGATGAGACATGGACGGGTGATTGGTGGTGGGACCTGCAGGTGAGGGCGAAGTCATTTGCCTATTACAACATGGGGTCATGTCACTAAGTACTCGCCTTGGTTGCATCTCATAGGGTGTTCTTCCTCCTGGTGCGACGATTGCACCCGTTATCCTATCCTCCGACAAAACACAGCTCTCCCACTTCTCTGGCGACAAGCAGGCTTGGCCTGTGTACCTTACCATTGGGAACCTGTCCAAGGAGATCCGACGCCAGCCCTCGAAACGTGCAACTGTTCTCGTAGGTTACATACCTGTCACCAAGCTCGAATGCTTCTCGAAAGGGAAGCGTAGGTCACTCGAGAGCTATCGCCTGTTCCATGAGTGCATGCGAGCAATCCTGGCTCCGCTTGTTGAAGCTGGGAAGGATGGTGTTGAGATGCTCTGCGCCGATGGTGCGATTCGCCGAGTGCACCCCATTCTTGCTGCGTACATTGCGGACCACCCCGAGCAATGTCTTGTGTCTGGCTGCCAGGAGAACTTCTGCCCTAAGTGCACCACGCACTCTTCAGAATTGGGCGACCCCGTGCATTCTGTGATGAAGGACCAGGCATCAGTTTGGGAGATCATGCAGGAGCAGGCTGAGGGAGACGGTCCCACGGAATTCAAGGCGCTCGGCCTGCGCCTCATCGATCCGTTTTGGCGCGAGCTTCCTCACTGTGACATCTTCTCATGCTTCACGCCCGACCTCCTGCACCAGCTCCATAAAGGTGTGTTCAAGGACCATACGGTGTCTTGGGCTACAGCGTGCCTGGACGGCGGTGTGGACGAGCTCGATAGACGCTTCAAGGCGATGCCTTCGCACCCTGGCCTCCGCCACTTTAAGCGGGGAATCTCGCTTGTCTCTCAGTGGACTGGCACCGAGTACAAGCATATGGAGAAAGTTTTCGTCGGTGCCATGACTGGCGGCATCTCTGACCCTGAAGTCCTCCTTGCTGTTCGTGCGGTCCTCGACTTCATCTATTACGCGCACTTTGAGGCTCATTCGGATGACTCTCTTGCTTGTCTGGACGCTGCCTGGACCGCATTCCACACCCATAAGCACGTTTTCATCCAAGAGGGTGTGCGCGAGCATTTCAACATTCCAAAGATCCACTCTGCTCTTCATTATCTTCTCTCTATCCGGAAGCTTGGTACAACTGATGGCTACAACACTGAACACTCAGAACGGTTCCACATCGACTATGCCAAACGTGGGTACACAGCGTCGAACAAACGGGCATTCATCAAGCAGATGACTGTTTGGCTTGACCGACAGGAAGCCATCGACCGCTTTCAGGCCTACCTGGACTGGGCAGAGCCATTGCTGTCGGGATCTGACAATGGATGGGAAGATGAAGAGGACGAGGACGGTGATATCATAATGGGTCACAGCGGCGGAGACAACAGAGGTGAGAAGCCCCCGCCCTATATGGTCGCAAAAACCCCTGGCCTCTCGGGCATCACTGTCCAGCAACTCGAAAAAGACTTTGGTTGTACGAACTTCATTGCACGACTCGAGGACTACCTCCGCACAGCGTCCAGATCAAGACCTCTTCCCACTGCTGCCCAATTCATCCATACATCCTCTCGCTTCTCGCTGTACAAGCGTATACATGTCTTCTTGCCCCGACTCCGTCAAGTAGCTGCACGGTCTGTCATCAAGGACACTATCCGTGCCACACCTATGCAGCCAGCACGTCCTCTCCATCGAGCCGTTCCAGCACATTTCGATACTGTACTTGCCCAAGACCATCCTGGAGATCGTCACCCAGAGGACCACGCTGTTGATGGTAAGTGATGTTGTCCGCACTCCTCATTGTTCTCGTTCTGACGTATTCAATTTTGCAGGACTATGTGTTGCTCGCGTTCGAGCGATTATCCGGTTGCCAGATGCATATGGCGAACACCTCACCAAGCATCCTGTGGCATATGTTGAATGGTTCACACCGCTGCGACAGCGTGATCCCAGCACTGGTATGTTCAAGGTCAATGTATCGACACGCAACCATCGTCGACGGACCTCAATCATCCCTATAACTCAGATTGTACGTAGCTGTCATTTGATACCTATGTGGGGCAAGCACGTAGACACGACATGGACTAGTAGGAATGTGTTGGATAAGTGCAAGAAGTTTTACGTTAACTCATACCTACGGCACCACGATTTTGTGTTCTTGCGATACCTGCAAGAAAAGTAGGCTCACTGTAGTTGGGGTTAGATCCTGTAGTCAGCCGTCGAAAATCATGCATAAGAAGGTCATTAGAACTCACAGGTATCATGTGTCCGAGCCCACAGCATGCAACGGTAAGACAGAGCCTCTAGAGCGCTAAAGCTGACTGTTCTCCTACTAGTGTGCTTTGAATGGCGTCCCTAGTGTCCGTATATAGTCCACACCCCTCCCTCATGGTTTATAAACGTTCATTGCCCTCTAAGATATCTATATACCAATTTTCTCCTGCGGCGCGTGAGAGCTACGATGTGGAAAACCCGGACCAGCTCACCTACAGATCATGAAGCGCCTGGGGCATCCAAAACGGCACTGGGCGTCTGGTGCTCGGTTGCACTCGGACGGTCTCCATCTGCTCGCAGGCGTCTCGGGAGACTATCCAGCGCGCGAGATCACATAGGTATGCCTCCCTAGAAAACAGTTTTTCCTGATGATGGACTTATGCAAGGCGCTGTAACGTGGTCGACAACACTGGTGCGCGTGCAGGAAACCGAGAACGCAAGGCGCTCGCGCATGACCTGGGTGTTGTGGCGGTATATCGGCGTCTCGGGGGCAGCTTCGATCAGATCCCAGTCGGACACGTCGGAAAGCCGGTCGCTGCTGCACTCGGACGGAGCGTAGTCTTCATCCTCCTCCTCGTCTTTGAAAAGAGCTCCCCATCCATTGTGGAGCTCATCGGGTTCTGCCTCGGGTCCGCGAGGGTCCATAGGCGCGCACTAAAAGAGTTCCTCTGTCTGCCCATACGAGAGACAGAGGATAACAGATGAATTGAGTATGGGGGACATATAGCAACTGCTCGCGAGAGTCAGAGAGATGTACCGGTTACGGGAGTATCTACGTCGAGCAGACGGTAGGCTCGGCGCAGCTCAAAGACGTCGCGAGATAAGCAGGCAGGCGCGCGCGACAAGACAGCTCGGACACGTCGGGAGAGAGGCAGGAAAGTCACACAGGTCACCGAGCGGGGAGTCACGGGGGTGGATCCACCAGACGTTCAGGAGCGCGGAAAGTCCCGGTTTTTTCATTTCCGCTCAAAGCTCCGAACGTCTGGTCACGAGACTACGAAGAGCCAAGAGGTGGGTTGCAAGCGCCGGTCTGGTGAAACTCCGGTTCGCGGCCCGCATCGCCCATATGCACATACCCAACCATTCGACGCCCATCGCTACCGCTCCTTGCACTCCTGATCGATCATCCCCGAACCAGTCATACGAACAACACACTTACTCTCCTTCTGACCGATGTCACACGATAACGCACGCAAGATGACCAACCCTGCGCACTGGTACAACGGGCAGATCCTCTTGGAGAAGGAACCCAGTACCGATCCCGCGGATCTAGGATCCAAGCTCACCCAGGCAGCGGAAGAGGCTCAAAAAGCCGTGCGTATATTGGCGTCCTCAAAAGATCGCTATCCATTGATCATGCACTTCCGGCGCAGAAATGGGAAATGCTCATTGCTAACAGGAAACCGAGGCCAATCATTCCTCCCAAACTCCTCGGTGGCCATGGCAGGAAACCTCCGTTGCTCCTATACGGCTGGAAGTTCGATTCCGATTACTTCCTCGGGCTCACCAAGAGATATGGACTCATTCTGAAAGTATCGGAGGGAGCTCGCAAGCAGCTTGGCTGCGCCACCAAGAGATTCAATTTCGCTGACGTCACCGAGGAACACTGTCGAGACGAGCAGTTGCTCGACGAATTGCGTAGAGCAGCGCGGTTCGTCTCCGTGAGTCACTTAACAGGATTGGCTGGAATCCCATTCGAGATAGGGCGGTCCCTGTCGCTTGAATGGGACAGTATCATCTACGCGTGGACGAACTACGACGCCGATGAGAAGTATTTTGGTTATGGACTTTCTCAGGAAGGGATATTCGAACGAGCCAAGAAGTTGATGGACGAGGCGATGAACGAGTGTCTTCCGGAAGGGCAGAAGAGCGAACTACTGTGGTGGTGGTCTTTCGATGACAACGACGTGGTGCGTGGTTTCCTTCGGAACGAATGGATTCATCGGCGAGCTGACTCGCGATCTCAGAACGTTCTGACTAGCATGGAGTAATTTCCTCAGGCTTCGTGTCGTAGCCCGCTAACACGTCTCGTTTTCCCGCTGTGCCGCTTTTGTTTTCATGACGTGCTTGTGTTCGCTATATCATGGATCGGAAGTGTATCATACTCAATATTGCAATGCATGTGCAAGTCGCCGACGTCTCTAATCGCGACATAGTCCGGGTGGGATTACAGCGCAGAAGCTCGCCGCAGACAATCAACTACTGCGGCCGTGGGAGTGTAATCATATATCAAGCGAACGTCTTTAGGAAGACCCGCGAGGAAGCCTCTGAAGGCCGACGAGGAATGCAGGTGTTCGGATAAGGGTGCGCGCCGCCTCTTTCCCTGCGCATAGCTGCCACGTTCTGCACTCACGCATCCGTGGCACTTGCCCCTGCGTACACAGGCAACGCGAGCCCAGCCCAACCTACAGTCTTGTCACTGCAATGTCTTCACTGTCGGTATCCCTGATCCTCTACTCCGCATGTGGGACGGGGTCTTGGACTACTGTCACGCACGGTGCTGCCCCGACTTCTCGTGCCCGTCAACCTCCCGCAAGGGTATCCGCTCAAGTCGCCGCTGGCGAGCATTTTGGGTGCCTTCGTGACCATCGCGGTCTGGTTTCGCCCCGGGGAACTTCCCCGAAGGCACGGAGAAACGCAGGGCCCCAGAGGGAACGTACGTATTTGTGCGGCGGCTTGCTGGTGACCCTAGCGAGAGGCTCCTCCATTAGGATCCCGCGGATGAGCTCATGCTAAGCGAATGCGGAATGCCTTTTGGAACTGTAGCGTCTGCCCGCGGCCCTGGAGGACGCCGAGGTGTGGCCTCCTGCGATGATCGATCGTATAGTAGATGTGAGTGTGAAGCGTGGGCGCGGGAGACCGCAGCAGGGAGGGAGACACGTACGTCTAGGTCACGGACATGCACTCAATGCTGCTGAGTAGAGAGGTTTGCAAACTTCGTTGTAGTCTCTACCGCGTCCACTGACAACTGCGAGCTCTGGCGTATCGCAGGAAAATAAGGATGGTCCCAGTGCGCCTCGCAACGGCGCTGGCTACGATACATGAATAACAACATTGACGGCAGGGCGCTTCTCATCCATGGATACAAACGGTTGGGGAGCCCTTCGCCCCGATCAGGACTCCCGCGATGTTGTGCTTCCGACTTCCGACGGGCTTCCCATAGGAGGTTCATGTATTCTCCTATCGTAGGCAGAGAGTCTTCGAGCTAGCTCTTGCTGAACTCTAACACGTCTGCAAGCGACTTTCTCTGTTTGTTCTCGTCCATAGATGCACCGTGAGGCAACAAGAACATATCGGCGAGGACAGGAATTCGGAGGCATCTGGGTTGAGCCTTAGGTGAACATGGGACTCCATATAGATAGATGCTCGGATGATGTTTCGTTGAAGGGGAGGAAGTCTCTAGTGCTGGGCATCTCACTAGTCAGGTCGACTCGACTTGGCTTGGAAGGCACATGTCTGCCTTCGGTGAATACCGGGATGGGTCGAGTGTGGCTGTACACCTGCTGCGCGCTGCGCGCTGCAGCCGCGCTAGTCGGACCCGGCCCCTCTATTCACGATGAGTATTCATTTGTCCGACGCACTATCCACTGGTACGAACAGGACGACACGCTCGGAGGTTTGAGCTGTCCGACATCAGCATATACGTTACGCCCCAGTACAACGCTGCGAACAGCACGAATCGCGTGGGGTATTATCATGCCGGCAATCACCTGAGGGTTCATAAGAGCACGAGAGCGTCCGGCACTATCCAATCTCTCTCCCTCCTACGCATGATGTCCGGCGCAAACGGGAGCGGCGAGCTTGACGAGACCAGTTTCCATGGGCCCGAAAGTAGGTCGATGATGCTGCTGGTGTGCTCGTAGCTAATGTCGGCTCAACGACGGTTAGTCAAGGAATACAACATCGATCTCAGTGACAACTATGACAGACCTAAGCGTACATGTAAGCCTACACTATAGTAACATCAGATCAGATCACCTCAACGAGTACACACCCAGCCGAGATCAATGAACGGGTGTGCGAACGCTACTCCGTTCAACACAGAGAAGACATGGAGAAGCCACATAGCGTCGAGCGGATGAAACTCCCGCTACCCAAGGACCTGTACCCAGGTGTTCGGATAGAGCTGAAGAGCAAGGTGACTGGGGAGATCGGTTTCCAGCTGATCAAGGCGGGGTACACTCAGGCTCAGCGAGTGGAGTTCCTGAACAGGGAATTCCCGGAAGCGTCGTCGATGAGATTCCCCGCTTTGAGCCTTGTTGACAGAGCGATGGTGAGACAAACAGACGATCATTTCTGTCCACGGCCTGCGGCAAGCGTGTCCTGCTTGACCGTCCATGAGAGTGCTGCTGGGGTGGCAAATACTGATCAATTCCTATCGGCAGTTTCCTGGCGAGGAGAAGTCGCATCAACGGCCTCATATTCCTATGCCGAACCGTAAAGAGCGCCAAGTGAAGACCACCCTTGTGGACGTCATCGCAAACATCCTGAAGAAACAACACGACTGGATGAAAGCTTGAGTTGGACTCTTCCCTTGCCTCTTGGTGGAGATATCCAACTGATACTGGGGCATACAGAAAACTGCAGAATACGTCCATCTGTGGGAGACGCCGCATCCGGTGTGGGTCGAATGGCAGAAGAGCGCCACGTACGACCCGATCTGGGTGATTGCTATCCGGAAGACGCTTCCCGACCGCTTCGGAAATTCGCACTACATCCCGGAACTCGAGCTCAGGTTCAACCAAGTTGGCTGACCGCAACTCGAGGTCCCCTCATGGGCCCCTTTATGTCACGCACTTTGTATGTTATGCGTCATCGTCTGAGCCGCTTGTGACTTGTGATGTTCGATCATATTCGCTATGTTTCCCTATTGTATATGCCGCAGGGAGCTATTGTCCGCGCTTGCCT